TGCGTGGTGTGCGGTTTGAAATCGCCTTTGATCCGGGTTGGGCAAACGCTGCAAAAACAAGTTGACAAGCCACAGCACTGGCAACAAAGCGGTTGACACCCGCCTTCAAATTTGTAGATCTTGTTGGGGTGGGTGAGGAAGTCATTGAACTTAGCAGCAACACGCATGTCATGACTGTGCTTGCCCAGCACAGGGTGCTTGCCCAGCACCTTGAAGGGGCTGTGCTTACCCAGCACAGATTGGGGGAGGGGGGGTGCTTGTCCAGCACATCTCAGGAACCTTTTTCACCACCCCGTGAAAAAAGACAACACAAACTGAGGGCTCCAACGGGTTGAGCAAGAGGTCGGTGAAGTTGGCTCAGGACAAACCCGCCTCCCACAGCCCAACCCTGAAACACATTCTGGGTTGTTCTCCCTTCTCCCTCCAAAAGCAGATAGGAAATGCTTTCTCCAACCTGAAAATATTTGTCACAAGCCCTCCTCTCACCTCCTTTTTTCAATAGCCAAAGGTGCCAAATCTCAGCTCCAACTTGCAAACATTCTCTTCACAAACCCTCCTCACACCTCCAAAGCTCAACAACCAGCCTGAAAATCATTCTGGTAAAAATCCCCTCCTCCCACCCCAAAAAAAACAAAGAGAACATTAAAGGCTTCTTTGGGCCTGATTACTATAAATTTGGACCTGAAAGCCATGAATTTAACTTAATCTCTGTCATGGAACTGTCTTCGTCGTCGTTGCTGCTATTTTTGTTGGCGCCTTCAATGTCCGAAAGAGGTGAGCATATGTTTTTGGGTTTCGATCGCGCTGACAGTCATAACTTCGCTGTCCCCGTCTGTGTCGCTGCCCATTATGCCAGAGTCATTGTCATTGCCCCTAATGCCAAGTTCGCTCTCGAGTGACGGGACTGGCGGGGTTAGCGCAACTTCCCACGGCAGGAAACCCGCTCTGCCAACCTGAGCGCGTCACTGGTGTGTGTATTCAATCAACCCGGCAAGCCAAACAACACTTTGAATGTGCAAAAAATGACAAACCAAACAAACAACAATATGAAAGGCCGAGTACGTTAAGGATCCCTTCGCTTTGAAGTGGAGCCTCCAGCACGCATGTGTCTTTGGGGCCGTGCCCAAAAATGACCCCCTCTTAAGCTCCGCCAAGTGGCGCACGTCGAACACCCTATCACAAAGACAGCATTTAGTGGCACCGTTGGTGCAGCGAATCAGCAAATCAGGCTTTCACCAAACGGCAGCCCCTAGCCGCTGCTGGCGCGGATCTCCTCCTGCTGCTATCAGGCAGGTCAGAAGCCTCGGTGCCTGCGCGGGATGCCTTGCAAAATGCTCTCAATGCTCCGCCTGACAAGGCTGAAGCGCTTGGCGGTATCGTCGTGCTGCGTGCGGCTTCCAAGTGTGTGTTCAGCCTGTGTTCAGCCGGACACCAGCGCACCAAGTCTGATCTCTTGTTTGGCCGCGGCTGCGAGCACAAGGGGTCGCGCTCCCTGTAGGGTCGACTTTCGCAAATTCGGCGCGGACGCGGCCAACGATGCTGGCTGTCAATGTTTCTAAATCACCGCCCTGTATGGATGGTGCGGCCCCAGTGATGCTAGGGACGCTGACTGTACGCTCCCGGATTTGGCCAAAATTTCAATGGTTGTTACGCTTCTAACATTCTTCCTATGCGTGTTTGCTACTTAAAGCACCAACAGTGCTAGAGATACTCTCTTCCCCCTAATATATTAAACGCAGGCCCCTCAGCCTCCGGGGCGAAACGTATTTATTAATAGGGTCCTGTTGGGTGTGAGTGGCTTTCCGTGACTTTGTAGTACGGCCGTAGTAAAGGAAGCGTGCTCCCGGGGCTCCGGCTCGAAAGTCGCAACTTTGTAGTATGGGAAGTGTGTGTGTGTGTGTGTTGTTGGGTTGTTGCAAGTAATTAGCTCGGGCCCTGCACTAATTACCCACCCCCTAATAAGGCTGGGGCTGGTCTGGGTGAAAAATCCGAGTTTAGTATTGGTTTTGAATTGGCCTATTCTAAAAGTAGTATTGGGGCCCGGCGGTCTGGGAAAAAAGTAATTATTAATAGGGTCCTTTTTTTAAAAGGGGGAAGAGATTACAAGGATGCTGGCTGTTGTTTGGCCACATCTATGAGCGCGCGCCCAACATCCCCGGCATCTCTGGCACCGTTAGTGTGCGAAGCGGGGCTGTTCGTGAAAAAGCGCCTATCCCTGTTGCTTGCTCTTCATGTGGAAGAGCCACCCCTGTTGAAGGCAGTTCGCTGAGAAGGGCAAAAGCACATTGAACAGCGACCCCGGCTGAAGTAGACACAGGCCTCCAAGTTCTGGAATCTAGATATTGAGATTTTGAAGCTACCCAGAGAAAATGCCAGTTTGGAGCACAGCACCTTGAAATAGCTTGGTGGCTGCTTTGAACCCTGCGCCGCTGCACCAAACTGCGGAAATGTTGCGCCGTGACAGGTGTGCTCAGCACTAGTTCCAAAATCTTGCGCCGGACGCATCCGCCGCGTGTAGCAGTTGCACCAATCAACTGTGCCCGCAAAAACACGCCACCGTTTTTTGGCAATTTTATTGCTTTCTTTTTCTAACACTTGCTACCTTTTTTTTGGGGTACCTTCGGGTGGGCGCACTGGGTACGGTACGCTGGTACACTTTTCGAGAAAAAAACACGCAACCTTTTTTGGGGAACGGTCGGGCGCGGGTACGGGACGCTGGTACACCTGGTATGGCCAATTAGCCTCGTGGGCACACTGGTGCTGGTACGGCACAGGCACATCTGATACGGAACCGAAAGACTTTTTGTCGACCACAAAAAGCACACATTGACCGGCAAAGTCAGCCGCTTTCACGTTTGTCCACGTGCAGCAGGCGCATGGCGTAAAAATTGACGACAGGTGCAGCTGACAGTTTGCACCTGGCACCAAGAGTCGCGGAAGAGGGAAAGGCCGGGCACACATATTGCTTCGCGAACGCCCGCTTTTGCAAGGTTCATTAGAAAAGAATCCGAAGCATCGCCCTTGATTTTTTGGAGCACAATCAAAATCCCCAGCATCACTAGGGCTTGGTGCACCGTCCAAACAGGGCGGTGACGTAGAACTATTTTGCATGGTAGCATGATTGGATGCGTCTACGCACCAAATTGAAAAATCAAATCTATATGAAGCGTGGCCCTTTCGTGCTCGCAGCCGCAGCCAAACAAGGGATTACGCTTCAATGGGTTGAATGTTCATTTGCTTTCTGCATGAACGGCCCGTGCGGCGCGTGCGCGGGGCCAAGTGATGGCCAGCTTCAGAACAACGGCGCTTACGTTCAACGCGCCGCTCTTTTAAATGACCACCCTGCACCAATGATACTGGGGATGCCGGCTATGCGCTCCACACACCGGGCAAAGTCAAAGAGTTTCAATGGAGCTGCATTCATGCACTAGTCGAAATGAGTTGCCCCATTTGGTGCGCTGGTGATACCGGAGATACACGCTGCGCGCTTCAAGCTTTGACCAAATCAAGAGGTTGAGCTTCAAATTGGGGTGTCCGTTGCTTGTTCGTGTCCTTTCCTGCGTTAACCGCTCCACACCGACGGCGCACAGGAATGCTGACTGGCTGTGCGCTGAACATTTCGCCAAGCAAGGGCTTCCACTTTACTTGGGGCTGCCGTTGGTTGAAAGCCTGATTTGCTGCACCCACGGTGCCAGTAAAGCCCTGTCTTTGTGCGAGGCGACTCTGCGGTGATCTTGTTGTCCTGCCCTGAACTGCAGACACAGCGACCCAGTTCTCAGACTCTGGGCTCCAGGCTTTGCAGGCCTCTCAGACTCTAGACTTACCTTTTGAGGGGTCGTGAAAGTAACACGCCTTGTTACGAGCTGATGTGTCGACACGCCTATATGGGACAAGGATACGGTTCGTGTCGACACATCAGCCCCGCCGCCAGGTATAAACACGCACACACAACCGCATCGCGCAAGCCAGCAAACAACAGCTAACGCGAAGCAGCTCGACCAAGGTTCTCTCGCCTGGTAACAATCGTATCCTTGCACCGTGCCAGTCGTACCCTCGTACCGTACCAGTCATACCCTTGCACCGTGCCAGTTAAACCATTGTACCATACCAGTCGTACTATGGTACCGCACCAGTCGTACCCTTGCACCATACCAGCCGTACCCTTGCACCGTTCCAGCCGTAACGACTGCCCAGTCGCGCCCTTGTACCGCACCATGCGTGTCTGTTGACTGCACTTCTGTATCCACCTGCTCGTACCTGTACGCTGAAATTTTCAGAAACTTTAGGATTCATGACTCTTAAAGTAGCCAAGGTGGATTCTGCGGGGGCAGGACGGACGAGCCCTAGAATTTTTGTCAATCTGACAGCCTTTTGCTGGGGTGCACCCGAACTTGTTGTCCAGCCAATGAAAGAGCTTTAGGGAATTCGCATGGGAGTCTAGAGGAAACCGCGCGGAGAAGGAGGTTCTGAATGTTTTTTTCGTGGGGCTCATAGCGTTTGATTGCAGCAGCCTTTTGAGCAGTGAGCCCGAACTGGGGGGGCAAGACGATGAGGTCACAAACGGACACGACACGGAGAAGGTCCATCGGACCTGTCTGAAATTGTTTGCCAAAACCGAACTTGGAGCCTGAAGTTCAGCGTAGCGTGACGCACCACTCTTCCTTCACTTTGTGTTTCCACTAGGTTTCCTGTAGACTACGCCTAGTTCCTGCCTACTGACTAGTCAAGCTTGCCGCACATGGGTCTAGGAAAGAGTGGTGGAGGCAAAGGGAAATCACGACGCTCGACACATTGGCGTTTGCAACGGAGATGGAAAATCACAAATCGCATTGCGATCGCAAGAGCGGCAGGAGGGCTGCCATAGGAAAAGGTGGGAAACAAAGAACTACGGAAAAAACTGGTTGCTGCTTCACTAGGAAAGGCCTTTCAACCTGGCAAAGCAGGCCAAGGCCGTCAGCAAAGCTGCATCGAACGAATTGTAGCAAGATATGAAGACTTGCCTGCTGATAGATGAAGCCACCGCCGGTTCTGGCCGCGATCATCTTCTGGCAGCGTCCCAAAAAAGCCAGCGACCATAAGATAAGCAGTTGCTGATACGGTCTCACTTCCCGACACGTTGGCCTCATAGGGATACGGTACTGCCCCCCTGTTCTTGAATCCCCAAATCCTGTACAAGCAAGGCCCCTCGACACTGTAAGACGAAGGTACCTGCGCCCTGGAAGCGATCTGCGGAAACACTGACACTGCAGAAGAAGCTTGAGGTTGTTCGGAAAACAGCTCCTCTCACACGGCCTATCTGAGCGCCAAATTTTCAGTCAACCCTACTTGACAAATTCTTGAGCGGTCACGAAACATGCACCTTTTACAGTGTCTGACCGTCCCACGCAAATCGCCAGCCCCCTGCAGCCTCTTCCTCTTCCCCGCCCCGCCTTCGGAGCGGCAAAGCGCTCCCTGCTAGCAGGCCTGCGCTTCCAGGCAGGAACACTCGCAACGTGCCTCACTGACTGCTTTACACACCTTGTCGCCGCGTCACGTCTAGGCGGGCCAAACCGGCTGCACCGCCGTCAACCACGCAATGCTCCCCGCCCACTTTGAAGCTCACGTGGAAGTAAGGCTTCGCAGACGGACGCAAGAAAATATGCGGACGCCCTGAAACTTTGAACAAAAGCTCAAACTCCACATATACATTCCAACGGCTAAACTTATGCAGCGCCTGAAACTTTGCTTCTGCTTCGACAGATCTCGCATCCAGCGAGTCGACAATGCGTCGCCAAACGCCACGCCGGAGCCAAATACATCCTCGCAACACCTCGCGCTTTCAAGCTTCAGTGCAGCGCAGCATTCGGCGTTCTACCAAGGGGCTTGTCTGCGCACTTCTTGCCTCCTTTGCGCAAGGTACACGTCCAATTTGTTTGAGCGAGCGCGTTCCAAATTTTGCCACAACACATGTCAGCTGCACGACAGGCGCAGAGGCCCCGGACACATGCACTAGGTTTCATGATGCTTCAGGTGGCAATGTCTGATTCTTCAAACACATCAACACAAGTGAGGACTCACTAACGAGGACAATCAGAACAAAAACAAAGAGAGCTGTGAACAAAGAAGGTTTTGCTGCAAATCCACGCCTTGGCCTTGCGGGTGATGCAGCCGTTCGTGGTCGAGGCCGCCTGCCAAGGATCTCTGGAAATCAAACCCTTCCAAGGGGAAGCAACTGCAACATCGGCCCCGCTCCGAGAGATGTTGAAGCCTTGCCCGCAGCAAGCCACCAAGAGTGAAATTTACTTCCTAAAGTGAGCTTCTTTTAACCAGCAACAGGAGACCGGCGCGCTTGCAGCCCAGTGAAGGATATCCCAGATTGTTGTGCAACAAAACCTCTCGCAAAACTTGCGCGACCCTCGACTCGCGACGCGGGGAAAACAGCCCTCTGAGTTTTCCTCCAGTGCGTTCAGCTACTTGACATGTGAAGCTGGCCTTGGCCAGCAAAAACGATCAGATCGATCGCTGGCGAAGAAGTGAAGCAAAGTGTTTCACAAACAGTACCAAGTCCCCTGTGAATCGTAAGTTACTGCAGTCCAGCTCGCGCAAATCGCAACTGGTGAGAAGAGCTCCAACTCAAAGGTCAGAGCTGCTCAAGTCTAAGTATAGCACGCTAAGCACACTTTGGTAGCTCATGGCGGCTCCCGTCTTAGCCGGAAGTGCGCTCAGGCTGCTCTACATCAAAATTGAACGCAACCAAGTGGCACAAACCCGTCCCGGACCCTGCTGCTCACGCAGATTCCCGGGACAAGCAGCAGGCAATGTCAGGCGCCATGTTGTTTTTTTGCACGCCTGTCCCAGAGTGACACAATGCCAGGTGGCGCCGAAACTTGATTTGCGCGCTTGGGGCGCTTGCCCACAAAACAGGTTCTGATGGTTCAGCGCTGCGACACTGACAGCAAAGAGATTTTGAGCAACCCTTCCGACGATTCAGGAATGTCAAGGCCTCTGCTGTGTCATCCGCCGCTGGCCAGGCTGCGCCCTGCGATTACTTCAACAACGTCAACTCGCTGACGGCGCAAGACCTCTTGCTCAGGGTTGCTGAGACCGAAGGGTCGGAACGCCCATGAACGCCCATGAGCCAGCTTTGCACAAAGGAAGGTGCAAGCTGTGCAATGAGCCACTGTCAGGGCATTTGTTCACACCACGGACATGGGCCACATGTTTGTTTGCAAGAACTCAAGTTTGTCGTCCGTACCTCTCCCAAATGAAGCAAAGGCAAAGCACATGTCGACCAAATCTAATGTCATGGCTAATTGGTAAACTGATTCTCGTGAAAGAAGGCTGCGTTTCAGCTGTCAACCCAGGCAGGGAAACTATGTTGGTTGGGCCAATATCTGGTATGAAATTCCAAAGTGACGCTACACGCCCTTCGCAAGGCTCACAGGGCACGCTCAGTTTTCTACAGAATTCATCGCTCACACCTGCCTAACCTGCCGTGCAAGGTTGAGACCGGCCAAGAGCCCGTCTAGCCTTGCCTTGCTCGCACAGTGGCCATGCCAGCTTTCTGGGCCCCAGCCGGACCCCAACCCAGAAGGCTCGAGCAGCCCAAAAAGAACAGCCCGGAAGCCAGCCCGGAAACGCAAACGCATCAAAACACTGTAAACAGCGGCGTTTTGTGGCTGGGGTCGCGTGCGTGCGCGCGCCAGAAGGCCCGAAAACCAACGGGAAAAAAGCAAGGACCGCGCAGCGCGCGAACCAGCCACAACAAAAGCAAAATGGACAGAACAACAGCCCAACGCTCAGCGTAGCAGTTTTTGACAGTATTTACGGCGTTTTGTAGAGCAGCATCGCATGGCAGCGAAAATGATCCTTGCTTATGTCCGCACCTTCTGGGGACAGTGCTTCCTGGGTTGAGAGGCTTTTTGGAAGGAAGTCTCAACGATGCCGACCAAGCCCCGCTGAAGCATCACCCAAGCCAGCTTGATGATGTCAGCCACACGGCCTAACCCTGCAGAAACGCAGTGTTTTGCCAGGGTTTCCCACAGGCAAGCAAAACCGCAAGCCCGAGACGACCAAGTGACGCGGGTCGGCGGCGCACGGGCGCAGCCCCCGTAGCAAAAGCTGGCAGGCAATTTGCCTAGCGGCGACACGCTTCCTCAGGAGGGGGTAGCTGGATTGGGCTGCCGCCCGACGCCGCCGACCTTTGGCGCTGGCAAGGGGAAACCAAGGGCGCGCCTCGCGTTGCTACAACTAACAACGCACGGCGAGGCTGCGTCACCTGCCAGTTGGCAGGGCTGGCGCTGTGCCCTGCAACGACGCTGCCCGGGCAACAAGCTTTGGCTTGCAAAGGCGCTAACTCCTTGGACTGAATTCCTTAGCACTCAAGCTCAACGCCGAAGGGGGCAACAGCTATGAAGTCTAGGGCGGCGGCGCCGCCGCGGCCGGTTGCGCGCGTCAGCGCCGTAAGATTGAAGTTCTGTGGTGTTGGAGCTCCCCAAACCTCCAAACCAGTAACCCATCATCCGGCTGACTGAAGCCGCGCCAGCGCCTGCGGTCCGATGGGCTCCGTAGCTCAGCCTTGGCACAGCCCGACGCAAACGCACGACACCGGTCTTGACGCTGACATCTTGGCCGGCCTGAATCTACATGACGGCTTGCCAGCGACTTGCTTGCAACTCGCTGCTTGGCCAAAGCAGAGACCGCTGCCAAAGCCGCATTATCAGAATGAGGGGGTCGTTTATCAAGTAGCTTGACTGACTGACTACGATTGGACTGAACGCGGGTAGCAACAGCTGTTTGCCTGCAGCCGCAGGACCCTTTGCCTTGCAACCAGCTATCGGTGCAGAAGCACGTAGGGGTCTCCAAGTTGGCAGCTTGGAGAGCAGTTGCGAGCGAAAAGCGCTCGCCAAGACAGAAGAGGCAAAGCGGGTCCGTCGATCCTACAAGGTCAAGATGGCGAACCAACAGAAAACGCCCTTGCGGTTCTCTTGCTGAAAAAGCTGGGCCTGATTGTCAAGTTGCTTTTGGCTGAACCACCCTTACAGCAGCACGTCAGTTGGGCAGGGAGGGCTCATTCCGCAGCAGAAGCGCTCGGGAAGCAAGTTTGGCAGGGGCGGGACACTGGTGCCGCATCAAGTCTCAGCTTCCTTCCATTTCGGATTGCTGGGGCGACACTTGTTCTCAAAGCCATAGCCATGTTCAAAGCGGCCTCCGAATCCTTCTGGGCATCTTTCTTAGCCTCGCTGGAGGGCGCGGCGTGCGACAAAACAGCTGACAACACTCGCCCTTGGCGGTGGCCACCTGTTGGCGCCGTTGCTTGTTTGCGGGCGTTTCTCGCGGCAGTTGCTTGGGCGCTGGATCGAAATTGGTCTTGCGTCGGAGACTTCGAAAGACCGAAAGCCCGAAACATCAACAAGCCCGGCAGCCCAAGAAGCCCAACGCTCTACTGCGGTCAGGGGGCTGCTTTGGGCATGGGGCTCAACGAGTCTGGCCTGAGCTTCAGTTTTTATCAGGCCAACCGCCTTGACCCAAACCAGGACCAAGAGTCATGATGGATTTGGCCAACGCCGGTTGGCGTGGCCCGCAAAAGCAAACTTCCCTGCGCGCCTCTGTCGCGAAACTGATCGTCTCAATGTAGACGCCCTGACCGGTAGCGCTGCTTGAGGACAGCGGCGCCAGGAGTCAGGCTTGCAAAAAAAACGCAACACACACACAGCGCCCGTCGCTTGCGGAATGTGTGTAGGACAGGCTTGCCTCGTGCTGCGGCGCTCTGGGTTAGTCGTGGCGGTTGGTTGCCCAGTTCTGCTGATTCTGCTAGTGGTTCTGCAGCGAAGCGCTTTGGGACCTGTGTGGCTGGCATGTAAAGTTGGGACGAGATTGTGCTTGAGCCCTTACAGAGCAAAAACAATGGAACATAGAAACGCCCTGCGCTAAAAAGGAAGCGCAGGTGTGGCTGAAAAGCGCGGGCCTCCCCAGCGCTCCTTGAGCTAGTGCCGCGCGCGTGGCCGCAAACGGCTGGGCCGACACTAACGGCCCAAGCCCCGAGCCTCAACGCATCCCGTCCGGGAGCCCATGCTTTTGGTGCCTGGCAATGAAGGGGCTGTTGAAGATTCGCACAGCCCGCGCCACTTTGTGGCCAAATGTCACTTCCTGGACAAATAATTTGAGCGCAGCTTCTGGGTGAGATGGAATGTCACGCCACGCCTTGCGCATCGCGGGCGCCTCTGACCTTGGGGCGTTTTAGCCTCTCTCATGGTCTTTGCACACCTTTGCGCATTTTTTTGCAAGCAACGACTCGAGTCGAGGCTGGTGCTCCTGTGAGGCCAGGGGCATCTCGTCTGCTGCAGGAAACTTGGCAGATCGACCCTCTGCATCTGGCCAGGGCACCTGACAGTCTGTTGGCGCTCGGGACTAGCAAAAAGTTACCGCCGCATCACTTCTCCGTCCGCCCTCATGAAGTGTCAGAACACCTTGCTCGAGCGTCACTTCACCGTCCGACACACACATAGCCTTTTTTTCTAAAATTAAGAATTGGCGAACATCCCAATTGTTGCCCTGTGGCTTCCTTTTGGAACAACCCATTTTCCAGCACAAACGATATGTCGACAACCTGCTCGAAGGTAGAATATGTGTGTCCAACAAGAACATTGTTCACATCTGGACATAACATATTCTATCTGGACACAAATCTTTATATCTGGCTATTAAAAAGTATGTCTGGGCCTAACACACCAAGGCTTGGCCATGCAAGAATCTGTCTGATTGGGGCTTGGGGGGGGCGCGTGCGCCGAAATCCGATATCCGGCCGCGCCGATATCCTGTGCCTGATCAGGACTACGTAGCGCTTACCACCGCCAGTGGCGCGCCAATCTTTCGATGAACGCAAAGTTGCTTCCATCGTGTGACGTGTTAGTTGGTTCCGGTATGAAAATTTGGTAAGAAACCGGACTACATAGCCTGCAGGACAAAGCCCCCTTCTGAAGAACCGGCTCGTCGAAAACGCAGCCATATACCGCAAACTCCTGAAACTCATAGATGCAGAGAGTGGAGTCGAGTGTTTTCTGACTTTCATCAGCAAAACTGCGGCGAAGACTGCGAGCACCTTGGGAAGACGCATCTCCTCCAAATATCCGACCTAATGGCGGACATAGATCCAAGACCTTCCATATCCTGGAAAAAGGAGACTACAAGAAGAAGCAGGATTCTGGGTGAAGAAGGTGAAGAAGGCTCTTGTCCAATAGACGATGAAGAAGCCCTGTGGCAGTTGGAAGACCATGATGCTTTTGTTCTCAGAAGATTTCAGCGTCGGACTCGAAAGTCCGGCAAGGGGAGACAAGGAAGAAAGGGCAAAAGGCAAGGGCGAGCGACGAGAAAGCAAGGCCAACATGGCCGATGATTCCACCACCGATCAGTCCTATTGGAGAAAAAAGGCAAACAACAACCTCGGTTCCACTCCAAGGATAAACGAAAAATCAGGCAAGGATGACAGAAGGTAGGAAGGACCAAAACCTTTGCCGTGGGTCATGGCGCCGATGCACAGGAAGCCACACAGCCTCCTGTCGACATATTGGGGCCAAAGTTCCTGGTGGTCCTCAGTGGTACTTTTTACTCCAACCAGAACGATGGTTACAAAGCGTATGCAGCAGAATCAACCAAAGAAGCCGACGCCAGCAGAAATACAGATGGCCTGACCTACAAGCTTTGGCCAGTAAACTCATGGCAACATCATCAGGCAGGCGACCCATGTCATCCTTGTCGCACTACGTCCATGGGCAGTTGGTGTGCGCTAAAAAATCATCAAGGCAATCCATGTCCTCGCCGGATGAAGTACGAGCGCCTCCAACACAAGGCTCGCCTTTGTGAACGGTCAAACCTCACGGTTGACTGGACTCTCCGACTGTTTTTCAACACCTCACCACCTACGGTGACTTACATGGATATTCTTGAGCAAGGACAAGATCCGGATTTGCTTAGCATTGATCAGATGCTATTTTGAAATGACGACTGAACACACTCAAAGGGACCACTATCCTCAGTCAAGGAAAACTGGCGAATCAAAGCAACTCTGCCAAAGTGGACCACCCGCAGCAACGCAAATACACGCAGACAACGCAGCAGACAGGATCATTCTTCCGGCGCCAGGCCGGCATGCCAATGAGCCAGCAGATCCTGCTGCGCCACAAGAAGCATCAGCAGACGCTCCACCTGAAACACCAGCTACGTTTGCCCTCAAAGGAGCCTTCGCCTGCAACATCTCCACATGTCATGAGAGCAGTTCAGACTCAGGACCAAGTACTATTTTGATCAATATCACCTTCAGCCAAAATGCGCCAAGGTTGGAGGCCAAGCATTCAAAAATGACCAATCTCCCTAGGTCCCAGGACACCTTGGCCGTACAGAGCAGTCCGTCTCGTCAGTAACGAGTCTCGCTGACGTTGAACTCGATCAAGACATAACATACAAACCGCTTGTCAAGGCGGCAGCAATCGCAAGAAGCCTCTCCGTGACACATGGAGGAGCCGCTCCATTGGAACCAGCTTCCGGACGCAGGCCAGCAGAGCTGGTCTGACCAGACATAGCAACACCACCACAACTAACAACTCCCAAAACGTAAGAAGAGGGCTGGACAGATCCGGCTACTTGGCAACAGTCATACCAACGTTCGAAGACCACACCTGCGCCTAGGTTCCAAGCCCATTGTACGTGGCGATAAAACTTCTATTGGGGTGAAGACAAGCCCAGGCAGCTGCATCAAAAGACGGCACCACGGCTGGCATGGAACTTGGAACAAGACTACTCATGGTCAACATCACAAAACCACGAAAGGATGAAACCAGACCGCCATCAAAACCAGGAACTGATTTGCAATTTCCGACACCCGGCCAGCCAAGCAAATTGCCAAAAAGACACAAACAGAACAACCAGACCGCGCAGAACCAGAACCGGCTTCCTCCACATGTTTGTGCACAGAGGGCCATACTCGTGAAGCACAGTTTCCGAAAGGGAAACTGCACGACCAAGGGTAAGACCCACGCCTCAGTGAACAACCGCCTGACGCTGTTTGGCTTGCACCAGTTTGTGGACCCTGGTCCAGTTTGCAAAACATCAGTGATCCACAGGTTGTTGCAGAAAAGAGCAAGGCTTTTGACCTGCGCGATAAAAACACTCTGTGGCAGTACTCCCACACGAGATAAGGGTGTCATGAGTGGACAGCAATTTGTCTCAGCTTTGCTTCTCTCTTTGTCTAGGCCTGTGCTTTTCTTGTAGACAAGCGTTCATCACAAAACCAAACACTGCCTACACACTTCGTCTTCGACCTCTTCCATATGTGTGTTCGTTCTGCGTCGGAGTGGACCCACACCAGAGACCTACAAGGTTTGTTCCACAGTGTCTTGGGCCCCCATTTGCAACCTCACCCACATGGAACCCCCCAACAGGGCAGCGCCACCCTGTCACCTCAGCAAAACAAGGCTCCTGCAGTCTTCTGCCGCAGTGCGCAGCAAACGGAAGTGGCCCCCCTCAGCTTTGTCTATATGTCCACGCCACACACGGCGCCAACGGCTTGCGCGTATAGTGAAAGGTATAGAGATATTAGTGATATACTTGATGAAAACCATAATATAACTGAAGTTATTTTACATTCATTGGGTAGTGCAGCCCAGTACCGTAGGTGTGTGGCTTGGACAGCGGGGCGAGAAGTGCCACTCCTCCTGCCACAGCTGGTCCTCTAGCAGCGCCTGTGCCTTCAGGACTTCCTTGCCAGCCTTGGCTCACCTGCTGAACTGTGAAGCGTTTGCCACGCTCGTCCCTGGCCGGGCGACGCAGCCATCAGAGCTGCCGCTGCATCTTGCCTTGGGGCTTCTTCGAGTTCACCACGAAGCGGGGCTACGCTGCGCGTAGGCTATCATACCAGCCGTTACCTGGTCGGCGTCCAAGTAGTCGAGCCACTCCTTCTCGGACAGCTGGAGACCTCAACTGGGCAGAGACTGCACCACAGGGCCTCGCACCAAATTTCAACTGCGGGCTTCTTTTTTTGTTTGTGGCAATTCTGGCTTTGCTGCTGCGCCAGGGTCAGCCAAACCTGGGCACAGCCCTCGCCTACAACTTCAAGACTCGGCCAAACGCCCCTTGAGGCTAAGTCTACTGTGACAACTGTGGCCGCGGAAGCTCAGAAGCTGCTGCGTGGAAGGTTGAGGTCTCGAGACGGTCAAGCAGAGGGACAGGCTGAGGTCTCGAGACACCTGCGCGAACTGGAGAGCGCCGGCATGATTTTCCACAGGGCGCCGCGGACCTTTTTCTGTTGTCAATTGTCAGGATCTCAAGTCCCAAGAGAATGGCGCAGCGGCCCTCCCACTTACGGAGTCTGGCTCTGACGTGACTTGCCATCCTCCTGCAAAAGGGGCCAAACAGCAAAGGCTCAAACAAAGTGGTGGGCCGGGGAGCGACAAGCCGACAAACCAATCTTCAAAAACCAGTCTCCCTGTAAGAAGGCGCAAGAGCCGCAGCAAACAGCCAAGGACTCAACTCCAACATCCACGTTCCAAGCCACATAGACGCACAGGGGGGTGAAGTGGTAAACAACGGGCGCAAGTGGCCTGGAAAATACACCTCGTAGGTCATTGGGTGGATCTACTCTGATGCAGAATACTGCAAATTCTGCAATGCTTGGTTTCTGCAATTGCGCAATCAACAAAGCGCACTTGTTTTCCTATCTGAGCTAGCTACAAGTAGCGCACAAGCCCTCAGCCAAAGATGGCAGGCGGTGGAAAACGCTGAATCAAGCGCAGAACAAAAGGGGAAGGGGGGGTTGGGGGCTGGACCACGTATATTCCTCTACTTCGCCACGGACCGTCTTCCTGGCCAAACGGTTTGGCGCGGTTCTGCCTCAAGAACGCAGGCATCTCAAAAATGCAATGGGGCCTCTGAGGGTTCGGAAGCGCGAGCTTGCCTTGGGGCCCACCGCCGTGCTCTCGGATTCAGCGCTCCAAGGCTTAGCACCGCGGTGCTCAAAGAGCTTCTCCATGCCCAGCTCCATCTGCGTCAAGACGGGTAAAAGGCAATGTTTCACAAACCCCCGGCTTTGAGTCACCTCTCCGCTTCACGGCGTCATCTTAGCGTGCCCCTATCATCCGGTCGCTGACCGCACGCGCGTGCCATTCTAGACAGTAACAAGTGCCACCCACCCTTCAGCCTGGCGTGTGTGGTAGATGAAGCCCCCGCCAACGCGGGCTGAGATGGTCTGAGAAGCATTGCGCTCCAGCTCGCGGACCTGGGCACATGCATTTGGCCCCGGATTGGCCTTTACAGCCCTGTGCTGGTGTCCAAAGTGATTCTCTCTCGCCGCTGCTCCTTGTCCCGCCCAGCAGGAGCTTTCGACACCCCACGTGTGTGTTAAGAAACTCTAGCCAAGCCGGCAACCGCTCCCCCGAAATCTATCAACCCAACCAAACCATTCCAAACCCTTCGAGAACCGTACCTTCCAAACCTTCCATCCCGGACCTGCTACCTGGGAGACCACAAACATTCTATAAAAGCCAAATCTATGTCACAAGCGTTGTGGAACCCATCAGACCTCAGGCAGCCCGACCATGTCGCGGTCTGGGCACTCGGGGACCTTTGCCAAAAGCTGCTGGGCGCAGGTCCATTCCTGGCTTTCTGGCTTGCTGGCACCTTCTGTTCCACTAAGGTTAGGATCCGAAAGCTGGCCAACAACAATAAAGCAAGCTGGCAAGACATCTCCAAAGCATCTCCAACCGCGTTTTGGTTTTGGGGCCTTGGGGAGCTGACTCAGGGGCTCTGCCTGCCGCCAGCTCTCCTCAAACTGGCCCTCCTCCCGGAGCCTTCAGCCGGGTGAAAAATCTCTGTTTCATGCAAAAGTTGCATGAACTCGTTTTAGGGCACTTCTTGCCCCTTTTCAAGCAGGTCATTGAAAGGGCCCTCCAGCAGATTGCGGCGCGGCTAAAGGCGCATGAGGATGTATGCTGAGCCGCTGGGTTCGGCTCCACCCACCTTTGTGCTTGTTTGGTCTTCAAGACTTTCACGCAACTTGCACTGCTTTCATTTAATTGAACTCCTCAACTTTGCTTAATTGCTTTCAGCGCCTTGTTTGTTGGGCGCTGCGCTGGACTGCCCCAGCCCGTTTCCGACTGCGGAGATTTTCCTGGCTTTTGTTTTCAAACGCCAATATGTGGCTTCCTGTCTTCTCGAGTTTTTTTCTCCGCCCGGCGGTCAGACGCCTTCTTAGATCACTGGGATCTTCTCCCAACTGCATCCTCAGCCTCCAACCCTTTTGCCTTGGCCTTGGCCTACAATTGCAGCTCCCCTGCTTAGCTGCGGCTGGCCACGCGGTCATGTGCCCAGCCCCAGCCCAAAGTTAAGTTCTCCACAAAAGTGAATACCTGACAGGGTAGGGGGGCAACAAACTCAAGACAGGCGGCTAAAGCCATGAAGCAATCTTGACGCAGCAACCTGTGCTTCTCCGTCCTAAAAAAGTCCGGAGGCCTTTTGGCGAGCCGCGCTAGCATCACCAACAACCCTAGTTGGGTCGCCCGCTTTGCGGCGTTGTCCTCATACCAGCAGCGTCAATACCGACAGCATCAGTCAAAGCACGCTGGGCATGTTGCTTTGCTGGTGTGGCAGCTGGTGAATATAATGCGCCGCACGGCTGATTTTTGAGTTTCAACCAACATCTATTTGCTTCAAACTGAAGTCAGCCGTTGACGCAACCCTGCGCTAAAACCCCCGCCCCTTCCCCAAATTCAAGGACTCCTACGGGTACAGCCAGAGGTGTGGGCCGCAGCCCTGGCCAAGCCATCTATCAGGCCAGCAAGCATCACAGCCAAGATGTTGACCTGGCTGCCAATGCTCATCTTCTGTTGCTTGAAGCTCTCCGAAAGCCTTGGCTTCCATTGTCTTCACTTTTGCGGTGTCAACAGATTGCGCAATAGGGCGCCGACTTCTTGGTCTTCTCGTTGACTAGCATTGTTCGCCAGGAGGTCCACTTACTGTCTTGGCCTATGGGATCATTGAAAGACCGCATTTTGCGCGCGCCCTGCGTCATGCGCCAACAAGCCCTGCGGGCCTGGGATGACATTTGCTCGTCCAACGCCTCGAGGGCCAGGAAGATTGGATGTGAAGCCAAAATTTGACTTCGGGTGGGGTTTTTGATCAGAGATTATGAGCGCCTCGAATTTGAGACTTGAAAGGGCTTTGGTCTGGAGTCTTTAGATGTTAGAAACTCTTCGATCAGAGCCCCCTGAATAGGCGCTAAGAGCCTTTTCCTTTCTGAGGCCTGTTTGGACAAGCGAGACACCCTGACCCTCCAAATCCAGCAATGTAGTTGACTTTTTGGTTTCACTGTGACATGTTGACTTAGGGTCTAGAGTTTGGACGTTCTGCGGTGTAGGCGCAGTTTCGATGGTTTAGGCGTGTCGCTGCGTGCTTGAGGACGCGTGTGTGCGTGGCGCGAGTTGTGAGTTGCGTGTTGCGCGCTGCGTGGTGTGTGTGTGTGGTGTTTTGTGTGGTGTTTTGCGCGGTCTGCGGTGTGTGGTGCGGTGTGTGCGGCGCAAGGTGCGGCGCGGGGTTGTGGTGCGGCGCGGCGCGGGACGGTGTGGTGCGGTTGTAGGTGCGGGTGTGGGAGTGGGAGTGTCTGTGCGTGTGAGCGCGCGCGTGCGCACGCGTGCGTGCGCGCGCGCGCCTTTGCGGGTGCGCGCGGGCGTGTGCAAGTGTGGTTGTGTCTGTGTTCGTCTCTGTGTGTTTGCGTGTTTTTGCGTTTGTTGTGTTTGCGTGTGTTTGTGTGTGTCTATTTGTGCATCTGTGTTTGTGGGTGTCTGCTTGCGCGCGTGTGTTTGTGTGCGTTTGTGTGCGTGTTTGCGTGTGTGTGTGTGTGTGTGTGTGTTTGTTTGTGTGTGTGTGTGTGTTTGTCTGCGCTTGAGTGTCTGTGTGTGTGCCTGTGTGTCTCTCTGCCTGTTTCTGTCTCTGTGCGTGTCTCTGAGCGTGTGTCTCTGTGTGGCTATGTCTGTGTGCCCGTGCGTGTGTGTCTGTGTGTCTCTGTGTGTGTGTGTCTCGGTGCCCATCGCAACAAGGATCGCTTTTCCAAAGCGCCACTCATGTGTCTGTGTGTGTCTGTGTGTGTGTCTGTCTCTGCGTGTGTCTGTCTCTGTGTGTCTGCGTCTCTGCGCACGTGCGTGCGTGTGTGTGCGCACATAAGTCGGTGCGTGTGTGCGTGCGTGTGTGTCTGTGTGCGTGTGTGTGTGTGTGTGCGTGTGTGCCTCTGTGTGTGTGTGTCTCTGCGTGTGCGCCTCTGTGTGTGTGTGTCTCTGCGTGTGTGTCTCTGCGCGCACCTCTGCGTGTGTCCGTGTCTGTGCGTGTCTGTGGGTGCACCTCTGCGTGTGTCCGTGTGTCTGTGTGTGTCTGTGTGTGTGTGTGTTTGTGTGTGTGTGTTTCTGTGAGTGCGTTTGTCTCTGTGCGCGTGTCTGTCTCTGTGTGTCTTTGTGTGTCTGTCTCTGTGCGTGTCTGTGTCTGTCTCTTGTCTGTGTGTCCGTCTCCGTGTGTCTCTGTTTGTGTGTGACTCTGCGTCCGTGTCTCTGCGCCTCTGTCTCTGTGTGTTTCCGTCTGTGTGTCTCCGCGCGTGTCTCTCTGTATGTTTCTCTGTGTGTGTTTGCGCGTGTCTGCGCGTGTCTGTGCATGTGTCTGTGTGTTGTGCCTGTTTGTGTCTGCG